GCTCGGCACGGCACGGTACGGTACGGCATGGATGGGCGCTTTTATCACGAGGCGGCGATAAGAAACGGCGCGTGGAGTTACCGCAAACTCTTGGGTGAGAATTGCAAACAAAAACTATAAACACAATTTTTGTTTGGTGCTGCGATAAGGAAATTAGGTTTTGAAATTTTTCTCACGATTTAGAAACTTATTTGATGTGCATATGCACTTCGTATCGCTAAATCAATATGGAGATCTATTATCAAATATTTTTTTTTTTTTTAATCTATGTAACGAGACAAGAGAACACGTGAGCAGTGCGTGTGATGTGCGAAATTTGGGTATTTTGAAGATATCATAATCTAAAGTGTTGAAATCCATTTAAAATTTTGAGGATGGCGATAAAAATGAGGAAACAGGCATATTTAAAATTAAATTTTTTTATTTTTTTGTGACTATTGATCGTGGACTTCACCAAGTATATGCCATTCTTAACCATTGTATGAGTGTTTGTATACGCTAGTTTTCAGTATGAACGCTTATAATTTAAAGCAATGGTTAAGAATTTTGCTTTATCCCAAAGATAAGTGTTTTTCTTTAAAAATGAAAACGGGCAAAAGAGCCGCGGTGGCTGGCTCCAATAAATTCCAGTTGGGAGTTTCAATTCTCAAACGCTTTTTGCAGCAATTTTTCTGCGCCGAATATTATGTTCGTCAATTGTCTCGGGCTCAGAAGTTCTTCTCTCAGAAGTCACACGCCACAGACACATCACGCGACATCCTCATCCTCCAATTCAGTTACAAAAAAGCCATTAACCGTGGTACTAAGCGTTCGCAATATCGGAGCAGTCAGTATTGCGTATTGCCATTCAGAAGGCCAGGATTCGTTCAACATCCAAAATTATAGAAACTTAATTTTTCTAATCTCGACAGGGCATGTTAACCTCCCTGGGGCCGTTCGGAGGCGGCTTAGTATAAACTGTAGGTTTCTCCATATTTTAGGAAAAACATCACGCAGAAATTGGGAGAGTAACTCGGCCGGTTTCGGTTGTAAAGCTCCAATTCTAAAAAGTATGTCAACTATTTGATCACACCTGGACACCAGAAATTTATTTCTTCTACAAAACAATTAGAGGTAATAAATGAAAAGTGACACACTTTTTCGAACCACATGTTTGATTTGTTAGAATTGTTAAAAATGTCTACGCTTCACATTTAATAAATTGATTGACAGAAACGATTTTTTTTACTTTATATTTAAAATGCGCCGCTTTTGCTTTGAAGTCCCAATTTGCTTGGGCATAAACTCGACCACCTTCCTGCAGAAATCTCCGCTAATATTTTTACAGTCATTTTGAGCCTTCTGTCATAAATCGTTAAGATTCTGACACTCATCTAGCAAATCATAAATCGTACGATTGATTGTGTTGAGGCCTGGTGATTGAGGGCGCTAGTCGAGTTCTCAAAAGCTGTTTTTTTTGAAGCCAAGCTTTGGCAACACGAGACGTCATTATCTTCTAGACTCCTGCAAAAGCTTTGTTGAAGGACAAGGCCTATTCCCCGATAATCCTTATACACTCTCCAGTCTCTTACATCCCCACATCATTAGATTATTCTCTCCAAACTTCAAATTTGGCTGAACAACGTTTTAACTAGCCAAAGGCGGTTTATTTCTGTTCCGTTTAACCATATGACTCGGATTTAGCAATTTTGGGTGTAGGTTTTATAATTTTTTGCGAATTGGAGCTTCAATTCACAGTGCTATTTTGTTAAGAGTGGTTTTTTTTACAAAAGTTTTTCGTAATTTCTTCTTAATAGCTTCTTTTGTTACATTTATTCTATCACCATGGAAGAGATCACGCCAGATTTGGCCCGCGATTTCATACACACTAAATTTTATCTCTTAATCATGGTTCTTTCCAATGTGGCGTTCAAAATTGGTATTCATCCAGGCTTGTTGTTTTAGCATAAAGGGCTTTATGACTTTCTTATTTTAAAAACCACACCCACAGAACCACCAAGAAGTCTTACAATTTTTATATGTTTTGGGATTAAATTAATTCGCCTTCAGATTTCCCCAATTTTTTTCGCATTTAGTTTTTTCATTTATGATGAAGCCAAATTTAATGAAATAAAAAACTTGATTTCACCACCATTAATTATTGAATAAAAAGATAAACTTGAGTAGCAGAGCGACTAATAGCTCTCTACTTCACAAAGTCACATGCCTACCTGTACATTTGTAAATATTCTCTAAAAAGTAACGGCATATTTCCAACAAATTTCGCACTTACTAACAGACATTTCATAGGGCTATTTGGTGAACTTATCGTTCTTATTCAAAAGTTTTCTTTAACCAAGATAGAACAAAATATCAGGTGTACAACTTTGCATCCGCCGTTTTCCGATAGGTGGCTGTACCGGCTGAGGCTGGTTGAAATACATAGATGATAATGCCTTTAAAGTGAGTGTGGACAGTGCCTAACGAATTGTCACCGCCGTTTCAGTGACAGTTGTTCTTGTTTTCGTATTATTCACGCTTGAAAATGTCCGTTTAAGTGCCTAATTCTCGCCATTTGCGGGAAGTTTTACTTTTCTGTTACAATTCGAAAAAAAAATGCAGCTGAAGCGCATCGAATGCTCTCAGAAACTTACGGTGATGCTGCTCTGAGTGAAAGCATGTGTCGGGAGTGGTTTCAACGTTTTAAAAATGGTGATTTCTATGTCGAAGACAAACATGGTGGTGGAAGAGAAAAAACCTTCAAAGATTTACTACAAGCTCTTAAAACCGGGTGAAACCATCACAGGAGATCGCTACTGAACGCAACTGATGCGCCTTGGTCGCGCGCTAAAAAAAAAAGCAGCCACAATATCAAGAGCGACATGACAAAGACAACCTCCAATTCGACAATGCTCGGCCTCACGTTGGAAAAATGGATTCCTTTATGGATAGCGTCAAAAGAGGACTCCTTTTTTCGAGCCGGGATCCGAAGATTGTCGGAAGAATGGAAGAAAGTTGTCGCTAGCGAAGGACAATACTTTGAATAATATATCTGTAAGCTTTTTTTCGCAATAAAGCTTTTAATTTTGGAAAAAAGCGGCGGGAGCAAAGTTGTACACCATATAGTATTTGGAAATGGTATGTGATAAATAGTTGACATTGACCGCAAAATTATGATCGGTCTCATCTTTGAAGAAATTTGGACAAATTATTTGCTCTGCCCTGAGAGAACACCAACACTTTTTGAAGATGTAACGACAATATTTCGGGTGAAAATCGAGATCATCTCGTTTTGGGTCCATTCTATCACTCGTTAAATGTGCGACGCGTGCACTCTACGGCGTCTCCAAGGATAGAATAAATGTAACCCCTGCGGGTTAGGGGCTCAAGAATTTACCCGCGGTAAGACATGCCTGTCGTAAGAGGCGACTAAAATCCAATAGTTCCCGCGACAGTCGGGTCTTTATACCGGAACGACCCGGATTTTTACCCGGATTTTTTTTTACTGTCACTCCCGAAATATTCCCCAAAAAGTACTTTGGGGAATAATTTTGCGGTTACAACAACAAATATATTGAAAAATATACAAGTTGAATATCTTATAAGTGAACCATGAAACTCTCAAGAAACTCTTTTCACATTTCGTTCCCTAATTAAAACTGACGCCCGACATTTCAGCTTCAATGCGGTGCATTGGATTGAATTGATTGAGATGTTTTCTATACAAAATATGCTCAGTCCTGTGAAAAACGAATGTGTTAATGAAAGACAGCAGTGGATCAGGTCGAGATTTGTGATCGGAAAAACGGACAGATCTTGCGCAAAATTAAACATACATAATTCGCAATTATCGCTCGAACTCTTTCAAATGAGTTCAAAATCAAAATCCGAAAACATCACTCTGATTGTGAAGTTTGAAAAATAGTTGGATATGAATTCGGGGCTACATATCTAGCAGAGCATTTTGAGATTTGGCCCTTATAGAGAAGAGAATGAATGCGGCAAGATGAATTTTAAATCGTATTAAGCCTTGATGCCGGTAAAAAATATAAATTTTTTATAGAATTGTGATAAAGCCCTGACCTTAAGCCATTTGCAAATAAGAAAATGGGGAAAAGAAGCACAAAACAAAAAAATGCTGAATTGAAATGCCTTACCAAATGTTGATGTGAAAAGTGTTTCTTGAGAACGGAGTTAAAATGACGATACGGTAAACTAAGTACAGAGTCAGGGATGAATCAGTATGAGCATTACAGTGTTCTTAATCATTGGCTTCACAGAGCCTCTGAGCACGGATCCTTACAGTGTCAGAACTGCTATATCAGCCGCCATACGACCCAAAACGCTAAGCGCCCGAGTCGTGGTTTGGATTAGGTCAAAGGAGGCGACAAATTTAGGAGTTGCAATTGGGCAAGTACTTCGAATTAAAATCGGACAGTAATCAGCTGTAGAAGCTGAATGAATAGTTATAAAAATGCCCTACAATTGAAAGTTTACTTAGCCCACCACAAATCGGCAATGTAGTGAAAGCTTTGTGGGAAAATCTATTGTGAGATTGACGGTGCTAGGGGAATTTTTAGTACAACCTTAGGACATAGCCAATATGAAAGGGAATGGTGGACAAAATTGGTCACACAGTTCCGCGATTTATCTGGATAAAAAACGATTTCAAGGCACAAAAATAGGGTGGATGGCGCAAGAACCTGTGGTTCAGCAGGGGAATTAATACCACTACACAGGCGAAACAAAAATGACTAATAGACCCAGTGGTCAATAAAAGCTACCCCATGACAATAATTCAATCAAGAAGGTCGTTAACCCTTGCTTCTAGTGGGAGACTTGTGAGTAGACTTTCTAGATGGAGATAAAGTAAATACATATCTAAACTAAACGCATATAATGGCATGCTAGATCCAAAGGAAGTTGAGTGATGTTGAGACCCATGGCTCTATACAATATGCTCGATAACACTAAACTCTCCCCCATTTTACTTTTACAATAAAAAAAATATGTAGACTTACGCAAAATTTCTCGATCTCGCATGCTCGGATTTCGCAAGATGGTTGCAACCTTCTGACGACCATTTGACTTCTTCGCCTTCAATGTGTCTTGATTGCTCTCTTTGGTGCTCAGCTCCTCAATTATTGTGTCATCTTCTGAGACGACTGGTCGACATTTCGAAAAGTGTATAGTGTCCGATGTGAGGGTGGCATCTAATACAGAGGCTAAGCATGAAAAAGCGAAGAAGAAATACTCAAGCGATTTACTCACCATCATTTGGATTGAACGAGTCCCACTGTGATGAGTCCCATGGCTCTGAGAACACCGTGCCATCATCCGACTGCGCTGAATCGATGCCATTACAATAGGACTGACAAACGGAATAGGTGCCACCACCGACATTATCGTAGGATGAGAGGCGACTACCCGTTTGACTGTCGAACGATTTTTGGCTTCCATGATGTTCTTTTAATTGCTTTTGACCATTCTGACCGTTAAGCTGCTGCTGTAGATATGTTTGTTGTGGTGGTGTGGAGCAATGTATTAGCTCTGGTAGATTCAAATCGGGTATACGTTTCGCAATTATTTGATGTACCGTTAAAGGTTTCTGTTTATTCTCTTTATTAGCTTCTCGTCCCAAAGAGTTTTCTTTCTCCTGTGCAGAGGCAGGCTGCTGCCGCCATTGTTCTTCCGTATCATAATCACCATAATGATTTTTGCCATTTTGCTCTGCAGCATCTTCATCGTAGTTGCCTTCATCCTCCTGTTTGCGCACGAACTCCCAACTGCTATCCAATTGCCATTGCTCGAAGCGTCCACGTGGCCGTTTGTTGGGCTGTTGCTGCTGTGCTGATGCTTGTTGCGGTTGTTGTTTTTTCTTGAGCTCATCCAGACTACCAGCTATTTTATCGAAATCTTTGGGTATCAGCAGAGGACATAGGGGCGTACGCGCAAGACCGCTCTTTGGAGGTTCCGAATGTCGATGATTGGCTGGCAAGAGTGGTCCACGTTGTGAGCGTCGCAAGATGCTGGCAGTTGTAAGACCCGCTTCACGTAGAGCATCTGCTGGTTCAGCATAGAAGGGACTGCCTTGTTTGCTACGTGAGGCTGGCGTATCGGCTGTAGGTGTGGTGTCACCCTCGATAGGTTCACAAACCTTAAACTGATCTTCGGACAACGATTGGCTCATGAGACCGGGCAAGAGTAGGGCAGCACGTGAACGTGGCTGTACATCGGAGGAGAATTGTATGAGTTGCTGGGTGTCACAAGAGCTGGCATCGGCAGTGGGTGTAGGTGAGTCAGTGCTATTGCGTGGCGGACTAGCTGAGGTGGCAGTGGAGTTGGCAGGAGATAACAGGTTGGCGCTAAGGGAAGTGATCGTGGCTGTAAAGAGAAAAAGATTAGTGAATAGTACATTTGCAGAAGGATGAATACGAACGTGTTTCTGCCAGCAGATCCGGACGCTTGCCCTGCGCACCTTCAGCAGGTTTGAAGCTCGTAAGCAGACCCGTGCGTTCATTGGAGTCTTGTGTCCACAGATCCTCATAATCGCTGATTTTATCACCCAAAGCACTGCGGCAATAAATCTGTGGGCTCTCCAGTATGTCAGACTCTTTGTAGTGTTGGGATTCTTTGCGCGCTTTTAAGCGGCGCGATTTGCCGCTGCTACTGCTACCGATGGCACTTGTCGGTGTGCCAGCCGAACAGGGTGAGAGTATCTTTCTCTGACTGTGATTCGAATCTTTGCTGCTCTGTGACTGCCAACGACTTCCATTGGAGGAGCCCTGCGATGAAAGCGTGTCCTTGCATTCGCCCTCGGGTGATAGACGTTTCGAGAATGTTTGGAAAGTTGCATTCGAGTTTAGCGCGCTTGGCGTGATCATATTATTTGCGGTTGCCGGTGTGGTCACCTCAACAAAATGTGGCGAGTTGTTATTCTCCATAGAGAAGGTGACAGTGGTAGTCACCGTGAAGTTATTTCCCCCGTTAATGCCATGCTCCGATGGTAGCGGACTGCCGGGTGTAAGCGGTTTGAAACAACGTAGCGGCGGTGCCGGTGGCTTGCGCAAATCAAGATTCAGCGTGTTAGGCGGCTTGGGTCGCTGTGGTCTGATGCCATTATCTGGCGTGTTCATTTTTATGCCCTTCGTTGTTAGCGCAGTAAGATTATTCGATTTGAAGGTGCTGAGACTGCCACTAGCTGCCGATGCGCTGTCACACACTAAGCCAACCAGACCATTGTTGCGTTGATTATTCACATCTACTGGCGACATTGTCAGTATGACGGAGTCCACTGATTCGGGACTCATTAGCTGCATTTGTGCGACACCACTTGTGGTGAAAGAACTCATACTCGATGTCGTATCCGACGGTGTACCTGCCTGACTGAAGAGCCCACCACTATTATTGGTTGGACTAAAGACCTTCGACGATTGTGGTGCCGCAGAGTTACTGCTGAAAACGGTTGTTCCCAAACCACTTGTCTCCGTCAATGAGTTTGGTGATTTAGCATCAAGTAGATTAGCCTCTGACTCATGTGACTTTGGGCAAGACATCGGATAGCGCCAGAACTCCTGACCCAACAGCGCCAGCGATGAAAGCTGTTGACGATTTTTCACTTCGCGCAGAGCGCGTGGCAGTATCAGTTGCACGGGTAGTTCATCGCAGCATTGTGCGTAGTGTGCGATCAGCGCGGGTATGGAATCGAATGTGAAACGTGAACTCTCCAAGCTTAAAATACCATCGTTTGATTGTATTAAATAATGTTCAATATAGGGACCGGTATCTGGTGGCAGACGCACTGAAACCGCCATTGTGTTGGGCTGACTTGAGCCGCGTACAATAAAGTTCTGTAAGAAAAATGAGAGGAAGTATGCGTTAGTACTGCTGAAGGGTGGAAAAGCGTTAATAATACAAAATTTGAAAGTATGGAAACTGCGCACCACGACCAAATAGGGATGATGGCTGTCCATAAAATTTTTGAAAACACAAAAATTACAGAATATCAAGTTTGGTTAAACATACAACCTTCCAGATTATATTCTGGAACATAAGTTGTACTAGAACCAAAAACTTTAGTACAAAATTTGGTTGGACATAGATTTACAAACTTTGAAATTTCTGACACATCATATAAAATATTCGAATTGAAAGTAAATCGAAATTGTTTTCTGTAAATTGCAAGAAAATACTCTTAGAAATAAAATGGAATTAGTCCCGAAGGTCCGCAAGATTCAGAAGTAAGTATAGAAGAGGCGAGAGTGGAGCGCGCCACGTTTTTGCAACTGGATGACACACTTATTTAAAACCTATTGAGCTTATCAATATGAACATGAATATGAAGTCCCATTTTTTTCTTTGGTAAAAATGTTTCATTGTTGTTCCGGTTACAGCCAATGTGATACAGAAAAAGAAACTCACCAACAAAATGGACGAATTTTAGCAGCAATTTTAGGAGCCGAAATTTAAAAATAAACAAAAAATAATATTTTTTTCCATTAATTTTATACGTCCACTTTTCTACAAATATTTTTTGATAAATATTCTTTTTAAACAATTAAACTTTTTTGGAAAAAAAACTCATTTTTTTTTGAGGAATATGGCCTTAAATTTGGTTAAATATCAAATTCGACTAAAATTGGAATATTGTATAACACAGTATACATATATTTTTAAAATAGAAAAAACAATTTGTCCGAAATATACATGTATTTTGGCTGAACATAAAATTTATTCAAACCAAAATCTTTCCTAAACACAAAATTTTTCACAGCTCAAATTTTGGTTAAGTATTAAATTTCCAACACATCATCGGATAAACATAAAATTTGACTTAACATAACATTTGGCTTAACATAAATATAAAATTTTATTATAGATAAAACATACATACATTTATAGAAAAATAAAACGTATAAAAAAATTGCCCCAAAACAAAACTTGCCCCAACGTAATATTAAATACAAATCTTTTCTTAACATAAAATATGGTTTAATTAAGAGCTTTGTTTGACTTTAAGTTTTGCTAAATATGCCACTCACAAAGACAAATTACAATGTTAATACTTCATGAAATTAAAAATAATTATATTAGGGTATGAGTGTAAATTAATCCAGACAAAAGATTTGGCTAAACATGAGATTTTCTTTACACATAAAATCTTGCTAAATGTAGCATAAACCAAATTATTGAACGTTAAATTTGGCTTACATGGCTGGATATAAAATTTCGGTAAAAAAAATTTGTTTAAGCATACGACTTTAGCAATGAACAGAAAATTTGGCTAAACATAAAATTTTATTGAACATACAATTTAGCTACAAACAATATCTACTAAATAATTGGCAAATCAATAATTACCCAGCGAAACACATTAAATTTGGCTAAACCTCAAATACGGCTCAACATGAAAATTTATAAGAACATAAATTTGGCCAAGCCTAAGGTTTTGTTACTAAAATTTACGGTAACACTTTTGTAAAATTACGTTTTTTTTAATTAAGCTAGGAAACATAAAGGTTCTGAAATTTCATATGTGATCCAAATATCCAACTGTTTTTGTAGTTCAAGAAAAAACTCAAATAACAGGAAGCAATTAGCCGGCGCCCTAAACTATGCAAGTATTTTTATTGGTGTATGTATTAATTCATGCGGTTTTTTTTCGAAAATTAAGATTTTATTGTGAAAAATGATTTTAATCGTCTGGAAACAGTTGCTTGATCAACTCCTAAACCTTTTGCAAGTTCTTCTTGCGTCTGGCATGCATCTGCGTCGAGCAATGTCTCCAATTCTTCATGCTGAAATTTTTTTGACTGTCCGTCGTCTAAGTCGAAATTGCCACTTTTAAGCCGTGAAAACCACTTTTGGCACGTTCGTTCAGCTAAAGCATGCTCACCATAAAGATCGAGTAAAATACGATCTTTTTGTTAAATTAAATTAATTTTCTTCATGTTAAAGTAATGAAGAAGAACTGCCGCAAAAAAAATTTTTCTGGTACAAATTTCGACATTTTCAAATGAATGAAACAAATTGTTATTCACGCTAAAACAAATGACATCTACTGAAAACGGCGACGATCGAAATGACATATAGCCACTTTTGAAATAAATATAGCCACAGATGGATACGACGCGAAATAATACTAGTAGAGCCCTCTCTTAGGAACCGCACGAAATAAAGCATATACCTAATATTAAAAATATGAGTAAAAAAAATTATTGGTTTAACATGGAATAGGACAAAAAAAATGTTTAATACAAAATTAATTATTGAAGAGAAATTTAAAAAATAAAATAAAGGAGATATAAAAAAATTCATCAACAAAAATTATGGCCAAACATAAATTTGTTCTTAACATAAAGATATGTATATTAAATGTTAATTATTAGTAAAAGAGATTCTAAGCACTATTTTGGCTAAAAATAACTTTCGTTTTGACATAAAAACAATTACTAAATATTTATTGGAAAAGGTGTGAAAATACCAATTTAGGCTGAACATAAATTATTGCTTAACATAATTTTTGGGTAAACATAATATACTTTAAAATAATATGCAAAAAATGCTGAAAACACTCAAATTTAGGCCAAACATGAAAAATTACATGACAAAATTTTTGGCTAAAACTGTAAAATAATATTTGAAAAAGAATATGGAACAACTAAAAAAATGTATCTTACTAAATACCAAAAAAATTAAAAAATGCTTAAACACACAAATTTCGGCCAAAGCTCCTTCTCCAAATTGCGTTTTTGCGTCTTAATCCAAAAAAAATTTATTTAAAAACTAAAATTATTTGTTATTTAATATTTAGTAGGATACCCCTTGCTGGGCATGGATTCTACTAACTGCAGTCATGTGCAATATTGTTCCATTCTGTTTGTACGGCTTTTTTTAAGTCGGCTTGATTTCAAATCTCATATTTTCGAATCTCTCGTTCCAAAACTGACCACAGATTCTCAATCACATGCAAATCTGGAGACGGCGCTGGTGTTTGTACCTTGTGCAGACAGTCCTAATTAAGCCAACTTTGCGCAACGCCTAATTTGTGTTTCGGATCATTATCTTGTTAAAGGCACTTAATGCTGGCGTCCAGAAGACGCCATGCATTCCCATACCATTACATGCCCTCTGCCACGTTTTACAGTGCTACGTAAATATTGCGGTTGTAACGCAGCATTTGGTTTTCTCCATACATAGCTCTTTCCATCTGATCTAAACAGGTTGAATTTATCAGCTTCTCTGAGAATTCTTCGAATGGTTTCTGGGTTACAGCTATCTCCAAAATATTCTACTACTTCTTTACCTAAAGCTGGAACACTTCAGTGGGGGTTTTCGTGTACTTTCCGTATAATCCATCGGGAATCATTTTCGTTAAATATTTATTATGAGCCTTTTTAGTTTTATTTAACACACGACTTTCACAAAAACCGCGTTCAATGATATGCTGAACAGTTCCTTGGCTCAATTTCATCATTTCCGAGATTTTACGCTGACTTTTACCATCTTTATAATGCTTTATGATTAATTCGCGCACTTCCATACTTGGCTGGCGACCCATTTTGATCTACACTTACTTACTTATTTACTTTACTGGCGCAGACACCGCTTACGCGATTTTGGTCGATTTAACAACATTGCGCCATTCGTTCCATTTTTGTTGTTGTTGTTGTTGTTGTTGTTGTTGTTGTAACCGCAAAATTATTCCCCAAAGTCCTTTTTGTAAATTTTGCGAGAGTGACAGTCCTTGGCCGGATAAAATTCCGGGTCGTTGCGGTAAAAAGACCCCACTGTCGCGGAAACTATTGGATTTTAGTCGCTTCTTACGACAGGCATGCCTTACCGCGGGTAAATTATTGAGCCCTTAACCCGCAGGAGATCGTTGCATTTTTGTGCTGTTTGTCGCCTATTCAAAATACCAAGTACATCCAGGTTCTTCTCTACCTGATCTTTCCAACGGAGTGGAAGTCTTCCTCTATCCTCTGTAAATACTATAATGTCAAAACTATCTCATATTGCAGCAAGTTTGCTCGGGATTATTTGAATTTATTTCGCATTCAAAAATCGTCGACAAGACGCCGCCGATAACGGTTAATTTTTGTGCATGATTTTCGCTGTGAGGTACAATTTAATAGTGAAGTTTGTTTTTATTGTAAATTATATAAAATAAACATAAAATATACAATTTTTAGAGCATCAATGAAATGTGTATATCTGCGGCTATTAACTGACATTCATGTTTTTTGGAAATTTTAATCAATTTTTAAATACTACTTCTGCAGCCGTGTAGCATCACTTTGGCTGTGAGGCACTGTACATCGTTTACCAATTCATCTAATTCAAAAAAAGTATGCAAAACAAACCAACTCATTTTCACTCATTTTTCATTACAATGCCCATTATCACTCAAATCACACCCGCCAACAGCGTTGCTGAGATTTAATGCTGCGTTAAAAATCTGCACATAAATTTCATATCACAATAAAAATGATAAATTATCATCAGTCAGACGAACGCGTGAGCGCCTTTTCTACGCAGCCATTTACATTAACGCCTTTCCACTGCGATATACACACATATAAACTTGTACATACAAAGAAATGGTACAATTTCAGGCACTCCAGAGTTACGAAAACAGACTGTGACTTGCTTATGTGTTGAATAAAAAAATCTTTTGTTTTGTCTTCCGGTCGAGACTTGAGCAACGTGTGCCGACTTACGTTTAGTGCTCTTCTTCTTCTTCCCATTTCGTGTTACACGGCGTATGAGCAAAATGGATAGAAAATTCAAGTAAACCCGTAGTAAAGATGTCACAAAACCCTGGTGAGTGTGGGAAATTTTTGAAAATAGA